CTCCTGTTGGGACATGCTTAGGTGAACTAATGAGAGATATGATGCCTCTCCCTTCTCCTAGTGACAAAAGAACAAATGAGTTCATCAGCCACACATTCGTTTTTGTGTCTGTACAGGTGTCTGGCATGTAATGACTCCAAGTAACTGTGTTTTATGACTGTTCTTTAATGAAATTGGTAACGTTACATTGTCATGCTCTGGGTTTGGTTTGGACAGGGACTTGTGATGCAGTGAGAACATGAGACCCAAAGAATGTGTTGTGAAAGGAAATCTCCGCAAACACAGAATTGTGCAAGGATTTGCCGGAACCCATATGCCTAAACATGTACTTTAAGGAGAGCAGAATAAGATACTTGGACATCATTTCCAAACTGGCACAGATATGGTTTAGAAAACCCTCTGAAAAGAAGCCAATGTCTTTGTTTGAAAAACTAAACTGAAAGGATTTATCAGCATTTTTTAAAAAAGATGTCTTTATTGTGATTAAATGTTTCATCAAGCCTGTATCTGTCTTCAGAAATATAAACCTTTAGGTGTGTTTAAATATTGTGAACAGCTGGATTTGAATCACTGTCTGTGTGGTTTAGGAGTTGACTGGACGGCTGTCAGATGATTACCCTGTACTGCCAGGAGAGAAGCCTCCGCAGATTCGCAGACGCATCGGAGCTGCTTATAAGCTGGATGCACAAAGCATCCCTCGAGGGGCAGAGGTAGAAGAATCGAGACTGAATCCTATTATTCTATACTATTCTATCCTATTCTATGTAAACCACAAGTACATGCTGTAAAATTTCTTATAAGAGCCATAAAAATAAGCTCGAGTTTGTAGTTACACTTGTCTCTCTATGGCCCCTGGCAATAACCTTTTCCAGAGTTTAGTGGATGCTGACTTGGCGCTTCAGATGAAAATATATGAGGCAGCTCGCAAGCTCTGTGAGGAGGATCACCTAAACAAGGCTGTTAAAAAGAGCCGTTTACAGCAGTGCAAGAGGGAGGAGAAGAAACTCAAACAGCTACAGGAGACGGCCTTTCAGCTGCGACTGGAGCGTGGCAGATCATCACCACTCCCTGCTTTTAATATTACACAACCAGGTGAGATGGGCCCGGTCAGGTGACTACAGGATAATTTGAAGTCAGATGACTTATAATAATCATCTGTGCAGGGAATTAAAGGATTTTTATTTAATAACAATACATCTTAGTTGGACAGCCTTTGGCTTTTCACAGGTTTGTAGAACAGTGTGACTCAAGGTGTTTTGTCTGTTTCTGGTTTTGTTGTTCAGATCTCGGAGCATCTGATGACAGCTCTCTGTCTGACTCTTTAGTGCAAGATGAAGGTAACATTTACCTTAGCCCAATTTCTACTACTGAAAGAGCTTTTTTAAGTTTAATGATTAGAGCAAAATCAGATTTATGGAGTTTAAAAGCTGGACAATGACCCTCACAGAACCAGTTAACTATAAAGCTTGTGGCAATATGAGTAGAGTCCAGCAAGTATTTATCTTGAATACCACAGTGCTTGTGGTTTCTCCTAATAAAAAAAACAAAAAAAAAACACTTAAAGGGTTCATAAAGAGTCTGTAGAGGTGGTGGCAGGGTATTGGTGCTCAGTAATTATATCATACATTGTAAAAATGTCTATTTCTTCTAGAAGTGACAAGCCAGCCATCACAGCCATCTTCAAGACTCCCCTATCCAGGAGAGACAGATCCTCCCCCAGAGTCTTCTCAGTCCTCTGCAGTCAGCTCCTATGCGTCACCATCTGTGGCTCCCCAGCACTTGCTGCTGACCCCGAATCACACTCCCCATCCACGCCTTGACTATTCACCAAGTTTAACCTCAAGCCCTGTGTATGACCCTCCTCCCATCCAACATTCCCCATGGACAGAATCTAGTCTTGACCAACCTTACCAGAAGAGCAAGAAGTCACACTCCTCAAGCAAGACAAGGTAACACAGACTGTCTATCAATGCTTTTTTCCTGTTCAACAAGTTTTTAGTTTAGTTTTGGAAAAGGAAAATATGGTTTGTAGGATGTGGACTTGTAAACTGTGGAGATGCAGATTTTGTGGCTATTTGGAGCATTAACAAGCCAGTGAGTGAAAGAGTGCCGGTGGAGTTATTTGGAAAAGCTGGAAAAGACACGAGGTAGTGGACGTTTATTATACAGTACACAGTAGCAATCGGTTTGTCTAATTGGGCTGCTTTGTGTATTTTTAAAGTGCTGGTAGCGTTTATTGGTTGTGATGACTGCATGGAGCAGTTTGAAGAAACACTGCTTATCTTTTTTTTATCAGTACTGCTGGTCATATAGTTCATGTAGTCATTTTCAGTGCTAACCCCATTGTTCCTGCCCTGTATCACAATGTCAGTGATGTTCGTGATTGTGCAACACTGCCATCTGCTGTTACTGTGGTGCTACAACAGTCAATGAGTCGAGCCGGCACAGAGCTGTACATCTTAGTAATTTATGACACAGAAATATAGTTTGGGCTTTATTGTCCAATATTCAATTACCATAATAAAAACTTTAAGCTATGATAATGCATATTCTTGTTCTGTGTTAACATCTTTTATGTTCAATGGCATTTTCTTTCTTTGACATGGATTCATACATTTTATTATTAAGATTTTCACCAATGATCATCAAGAACACAACCTGGATATAGAAAAGTATTTTCTAATTGTTGATATATAAAAATAGTAACCAAGAAGCAACATGTAAACATTTCTTGTGCTGATGTTTTCTGTGTTCAGCAGTCCAGCCAAAACTGAATTGTTGCCACCGTTGGAGGCTTGCTTAGTACAGTCTGCTCTGCAGCTGCAACTTTCCCATCTGAAGCTGAGCCGCACCCAGTCGAACAGCACGCCCTCCACACCAGAGATGCGTGTGCACAGACAGCTCTCCCTCAGGTAGCTACACATCTACAACACTGTGTCAGAAGCTGTACGTCTATGTTGAAAATGTAATTGAGTTCAAATCAGTGTATCTTTTGGTTTTACACATTGTTATTTTGACAAAATCAGACTTGTCCAGGGACATATTTGAGAGTTGTTCAGTTTCTTTTCCTGTTGATATACTTACTTTATAAAATTGATGTGATTTGCACAGATTGTCTGGCCCTGAAGCTTCATTTGAAAAGGACCGCGGTCGCACCAGAGGTCCAAGGAGACGACTGACAGAATATGGAATAACTTTACCAGAGACTTCCTCCCCTGCAGTGAACTATGGAAGCCATTGTGGCTCAGAGGATAGCAACTCCGAACACTCGTTTACATCTTACAACAGCCCCCCGTGTCAGGAGTTGCCCTGTGATATGTCCAAAAAATATCAGTCTGCATTCTCACACTCTAGCCCAGTTGGCATCAGTGGACCTCAAGCCTACTCACACCCTGGCTTTTACCATAATCCCAGACACCAATACAACCCCACTATTCACAAAGCCTATTACAATGAAGAAATGGTCTACCCGACTGATCTGGACATGGCACATAGCTATTATGCCCAGCGGGCTCCCAGTCCTTCCAACAGATATGACCACTGGTATAAAGACGCTGCTGTACCTCACCAGAGAGCACAGAGGCTTCTGCCTCCTGATATCAGACTATCCCCCTCCCCAGCTGAATGGGACCACCCACAATACCATTCCAGTGGTCACCCACGACAAATGGTGAATGAACATCTGAAGTCATGGCACAGGCGCAGTCAGCTGAAGTCCCCCAGGTCTCATTCTCTTGACAGACAAGGAGCAGTCAGAGTGAAAAACATGTCATTTCGGGAGTCGCCCTGCTACCAAAATCAAAAATACTATGAACAGGTAATAATGCTTGAAGCTTATAGAACACATACAAGTTTACATTGACAGTGGTAATCTGACTTTAAAGTAAATGGAGATGTCATGTTAACACCACTTTAAAGTGCCCATGACATGCTCATTTTGCTTGTTTCCAGCCATTTAATGTTTAGTCTTGGGTACCTCTAGATTAGCTTGGCACCCCTCATAACTTCAAATAGTCTGTAATTTTTTTCAGAATCATAAAACCAAAGAGCCTCTTCCTAAAAATGAGAGGATAGTTCGTGAACGCACACAACTCCTGTTGCCGGTGTTGTGTTGCAAGTGGACAGACAGCACAACCAACCATGATGGTATTAATTAATTTGAATGAGTATCGTTTCTTTTTTTCTGTTGCTAACTTTTAGGTTATCCAAAGAAGAGCTGTCCAGAGAGCTGCAGATGACGCTCACTGGGTTGGAGATGATGGTACCCACTTTGTAAGCCAATTGTAAAGAGATGAGAAACCAAGCTGAACATGTTCACTCAAAGGTTGCAGCTGGATTAATCTCCACTAAGCCAAAGCAACATAGAAAGTCAAGACGTAAACTGTTTATACCCTTAAAGAATACATTTTTATGAAAGCTCATTGTCCTGTTTACCTTGCTGCTTGTATGTAGGCATACAGAGGGAGGATGAAATGCAACTCAGTACAACAACAATGCAAACCACATCCTCCAGAGTTATTATAAAGTAGAATCAGCACCTCTCTGACACAGTCTGGGTAAAGCTGAGTGCAGAGCAGTTGTACTGGGTTTGAAGTACACCTGTAAAGTGTGCCTGTTGTTTTCATCCTCTCTCTGTATGTTGTTTTGTACTAAATTACAAATTAAACATTGAACTGAATGTTAAATATTATAACTTGAAAAACCATTGTTACCGTTTTAATCTCTGACTGTTATGTGCATTTGAATTGACTGATACCAAACTGGCAATTTATTTTCCCCAACAAACAGACATTATCATTGCCGCAGAGTTTTATTTTCATATTTAAATCACTCGCAAATGAAATGGCAGCAAACTGGTTGGTGGTAGCAGAATCTCTTACACAGAAATGGCCACTAAATTTTAATTAAATTAGAATTGTGAATTCTGTAAAAAAAAAAAAACTTTAAAAAAACTAATGTAACTAACATTTAGGCCATTTTTGAAACAGAAGTTTAATTATGATTTATTTCATACACTTTTTAAAATGTAAAGCCATCAGCTAAACTGCTTTAGATACTTAACTTGACCATATCACGTAGTGCTGCATTAGATGTTGCTGCTGTATCTGCCAGAAACACATTGTCAAATAATGTTGTACTGCAAAATAAATCTGTGGGTTTCTGTGCTCCTTTTCAACTAGCTGTATGAAGTAAATGGATCCATTGTAAAATTATGTAGATGAACAACGTAACCTTTTTAGGTACATTTTGTTTGTAATGTTACCTTTATTGAGTCGCCATGTTAATTAACTTGAGCTGCTTACAAGTCCCAGGTTCGAACTGTTTTTAGAGTCAAATGTGCCTTGTTTTTATACTTTCATGTGTCTGTGGCTCTGCCAGTTAACTTGAATTACTAACTGACCTAACCACATGTTGAAACTAGACATTAACTTACTCACATGAGATACAGGTAGCAATTTAAGATAAAAGCAGAGTTTTGATGCTTGGCAGCTATTAACTTGTCAAAGTGAAATTTAAATGAGCTTTAATAGTATTTTTTGCAGCGTCTGATAAAGTGTTTGAGATGGTAGCTCACTAGACTTTTGTTAGCACCAATACAAATTTAACTCACAGGTTAACACTATTGAACTGTATTCAAAACACTGCCACCTGCTTGATCCTGCCACTAGCATATGCTTGTCTCAAAGATTGTACTTTAATAAACAAGCAGAAACCCATGTCTTTGAACCACTTGACTGTAGATCATTCGAGAGTGAGAGTTAGTTTCTACAAATTTAAGTGCAACTACACACTTCCTGGTAATCTATTTATGTGTTATTTATCGTGATTTGCACCATTGGACCCATGGAAATGTCAAACTTGAAGTAAAAGAAAACTTGGACCTGAGTTTGCAAAATCGTATTATGAAAACAAAACGGACCGCAATCATGTTGTGCGCCTCTTTTTATTTATCAGTTACAGTACTTTAAGTGGACCTAATAATGTTGTATCTGGCTGTCAAAAAATCTGTGAAAATGTTTTTCCTGTGGAAGTAAATAAAGATTAATGTTTGCATATTGTTGACTTTTGTTTACTGGCATCATGTGCTTTTCCTATGTCAAAACCCATTTTGACATGTGCAGTAAGTTTCAGGGTCCTAGTATAGAGCATGCTGAGTCACTGTCATGGTTTAACGGGACACCTGAAAGGAGCACAGCCATTGTTAATGTTCCCAGTAACACCCGTTCTTTTCTTAATACCAGACGAAAGGTGTAGTGTTTATCTTCAGTTTTAACATACTGGCATCTCTTTCCTGGTTTTACATTGTGTGCAAACCTGAGAGATGTGAAATTAATGAAGGTAATTGTATATTTAAAAAAGGCTTGATGGAAGTAAGGCAGATGTGTGATGAATTGTTTGGGTGAAGCTTTTTAAGCAGTAAGTGTTTGCTTGGCACTTTCTTAAAAATGCACTTAACACCTTTGCCACACAGTATGCACTGTTAAGTCTGAGACAACAACAAAAAAAATCAGTAAGGTAGTTTCTGTGGTTTCAGCAACCATTATGTAGGTAAGGGTTACAATCTATATGGACCTTATCAGAAAATCATCACCACCATTCTCAGTGTCTGAAACAGTTTCCAGAAAATCGCACAAGTCAAATTTTTTTTTCAATCCTAGTAGGCAGCCATCTGTCATGACCGGCTGTGAGAAAACAGCCTTTCATTCAGCTGCATATTTTTTTCTTCATTCTCTGTATTGAGCTCCATGCATCAGCCTCTTTTCTTAGCTTTTACTGACTTATCTTGTTACTGATATCCTGTACAGTATTTTTATCCAAAGTGCACTTCAGAATAATTTAATAAACAAGACAGCATCATACAGCTAAAAAAAGTATCTAATGAGCTGCATTTTATATGGTCTCAAATACAATCTAAATATAAAAACTATCTGTGATGCAGTTATAATATATTCTTGGTATATATTTGCAAGATACTTCTCTGTATTTTGAGATATAGTCTCTGTATTTTGTACAGTGGCCCTGATATACAAAACAACAGCAGTCAAAACACAACACCTTACATTGTTGTTTCGATATAGTGAAGACACATTTAAATTTTTTAGATCTTTAGTTTTCTACACAAGGATCAATTCTTTTATTTTGAAAAAAGTACAGGGATTAGGTTTACGGAAGTGTTCTGAACTTCCGGAACGGATTGTGTTTCGCATCTCTATTAAAAAAAAAAATCAGCCTTCCTGGAAAACTACCTTGTCAGGTAACGCATGTTCTGTTTAATGAAGTCGTCATTGCAGATGTCAGTAGTGTAGGCTGTCTGGCAAACGTTATAGATTGGTGTCGTCGTAAAGACGTTTGTGTCGCTGCTAGCAAGTTATTTCACAAACAGTTTCGAATGCTCAGCGACGGCTCGGCGTTAGCTGAAAGGTAAGGTTAGCAAGTTGATTTATATCCATTCGTGACCAGCTAACTTATATTGGCGCTCGTTACATTTTAATCCAGCTCCATGCAATGGAGTGTACCAAACGGTGTAGAGGTGATGAATATAATGCTACGTTAAGTCGTCGGTATCTTGTGGTTGTTTTTCTGTTTGACGCTGTGCTAATGGTAATCAGCATCCGTATGGAAGGTTTGGCAATACAGTAAATAGGATAAACGCTTTGTTGTCAACCTCAGCTCTTTCACATGTTCCAATATTTTATTCTATATCGCTCGACAATTGTTTGACTATAACTGTTGTTGTATAATTTTGACCGGTTACATAAACCTAATTTCACACGAGACCCAAATAAAACACCAACCCACTTTAACCAGGAGTTAGATAAATGCATAACTGTCACGTTCTGATAATACACTATTTATAAAAGGTTATAAAGTTTTAATTAATGGCTCAGTTGCTGGTTAATAAATGTGTTACCAGTCCTTCATAGATTAACAATAATCCATTAATAAGAACAGCACTTGGGTTTCCAGGCTGTGTAAGATCCTCCTCCAACACTCTTGTGTCGTGTTGCTAGCTCTAATTTATAAAGGAGACCTCTTTATTCGCCTCCTGACAAAAGTGCTGCAGGGCACCTGGACCAGAATCGATTCATATAAACAACTTCTTCATTTATTACTACTGATTTAACCTTTGAATGACTGTATCCTATAAATGTAGTCTCCTATAAATGTTAATATTATTCATATTTATAGGAGACTACCTTTTGCTGATGGCTTATTACAAATTGAGAAACCCATCCATCCATTATTAGTATGCCTCCATGCCACCCCAAACCCATCCATCCATTATTAGTATGCCATGCCACCCTATTACCCTTTATTATTGGCTTATTATTATTTATGAAAGTGAGAAACATGATACTCTTTGTTATGACTTATTAACATTTATATTTGCAGACTCCATGGCTTGGTGGGGTCTCCCCAAATTCCCTGCAGTTCTAAATCACCTTATTGTACCACATATTACAATGTAATATGTGCATCATGTCACATGAATATTTCCTTTCATGGGTATGTAACGCTGTGCAGACTGTACTGTGCTGTACAGTGTATCCATCAACATACGCACCTCTGCATATAGAGCTTATCATCAGTGATGCACCAATATTAAATATTTGGGTTGATAGAGAAAAGATTTTTTTTGTGGCCAGTATCAGTGCAGTAACCAATCATATTACATTTTCTAGATTGATATGTTTATGTTCCCACTAGCAAAAGCAGCATTCAGAAAGTGTTCCTTGTTCTACTTTTGAATAATTGACCTTGAAAACTGATTCCCTTCTGACAATGGGTTTGGATGACAGTCCTGGTCCATAGCCGTTATTAAAAAGCTCCAGATTACCTGATATAATTATTGCCTGAGATTCTATTATTAGAACAATGGCCATAATTCCATTTTCGCATTTACTGGGCAATAACATGATGGCCACCAATATTGTGCTTATCTAATTACTAATTGCTTATCTGTACAATATTTATTCCAGCTTTTCTCACTCTGCTATGGTAGATATAGTTTGTTTTTGTTTATTCTCTTGGAATAGCTTTATCTCTATATTTGTATCTACCCGTAAATTTGCTCTCTGTGGTGGAGAGTATCATGAGAGCTGTAGAGAACTGGAGTCAAATGTCATGAGTGCATGAACAATGAAGTTGATTGTGATTGTGGTTGCTCAGGAGGAAATAGAAGTATACCATTTGAAGCCATATACGAGGATTGTGAGTGGGTCATCAGGCAGTCTCCCTATGTCAGGCCGAAACGGGTCTGCAAATGATGCAGACTGCCGGATCTCTGAGGACTGCCAAGTCCCAGATGTTGAGCTGATGGAGCCGGAGCCACTCCTGGAGGAGGGAGGGGGCCGACAGGCAGTGTCTAAAGGTGTCCATCCAGAGGTAGGACTGTTTCATAAAATGTCTACAGAAAGGTTGTTTGTTCCCAGTAGCTTCAGTAGTCTCTACTGTGTTATCTTTAAAGGGAGCTGCGATGCTTGCTGATGAGGACGAGGAAGATGATGAGGTGGGAGAGGTCCTGACCTTACCACTTCAGGCTCACCATGCCATGGAGAAAATGGAGGAGTTTGTGCACAAGGTAACTTTGTACAAATTCTTTTATAATTTACTAGACATGGGACTTGTAGAGGTACCACACAAATTCAGGTTTTCATTTGCTGTGTTGTCAAAGGCTTATACTTTCACACAGGCACAGTGATCTGAAGTTACCCCACAGCTTCCTTGTTTGTGGACTTTGAAGCAGTTCATCACTGCTTCGCTTTAGAATGAAAAAGTGAATGTAGGTTTCCACAATAACATTGATTTTTATGAAAAGTTTAACAGGTTATAGCTAATGATTTCTCTTCTTGGTCACAGAAAAGTGGTTTTGATCATGACTAATGTGAAAGAATAAGGAAAAGAAAAGAGATCCCATATGACATACCACAGTTTTGCCCACATCTTTGCATTAAACCAGCATAAATATTGCAGCATCCACATTAAATGAGGTCAGCACTGCTCAGGTCAAGGATAATACTGGATTTAGTACAATTCTGTGGTTTAGCTATGGGGTTAATGGACCAAAAGTTGCACATCTGGATGAACGTCAGCAACAAGGGATTAACCTGTGATTGCTGTATAGCTTTAGTAGGTCATATAAGGGATTAGCATGTGTCTGTTATTCTGTGTCAGACACAAGATTTATGTATTGTGTGTATTAGATGCTTCACCAGCCACTGTGGGAGGCAAATAGCAGCTTATACATAGCTGACAGTAGTGTAAGCTTTACAGACAGATCCAAAAACATAGATCTTGTTAACATCTAGATTACAGGGGTGGCCAATTTCAGTCCTCGAGGGCCACTGTCCTGCTTGTTTTCCAACAATCCCTGCCTGACCTGCTGCTGATTACCTGGCTCAGGTGTGTTCAGCCAATCAGAAGCGGGAAGATACCAATTCACTTTATCTTTGAAGAGAGAGGAAAGATAAAGTGAATTTGAGGACTGGAATTGGACTCCCCTGATCTAGAAATTGGAAAGTCTGACCTATTGTATGTTCAAGATGAAAACAATGCCAGTATCACAGTTTAAGAGTGGTAGCCCTTATTTTCTCTGCTACAGGTGACATTCTCGGTCTTCTCTGAGCACTGCACGTCTAACACATATTTTTGAACTTTTACTACCACCACTAACACAATATGTGCCTGTTTTACTTTAATCTCTAAAGCAGTCCTCTGTGGTTAACGTTTTAAGATATACAGTACTTGTGAATTTGGGTATCTGTGAGTAAAAGCTAATTTTACTTTTCAGGTCTGGGAGGGGCGCTGGAGGGTCATCCCTTTTCATGTCCTGCCAGAGTGGCTAAAGGACAATGATTACCTCCTGCATGGACACCGACCCCCTATGCCCTCCTTTCGGGCCTGTTTCGGAAGCATCTTTAGAATTCATACTGAGACAGGAAACATTTGGACTCACCTGTTAGGTGAGAATAAAAAGCCTTTCATAACATTCCTCAATTGTTGAACATAGTTTTAACAGCAGATTCAAATTTTGTTTACAGCCAGATATATTAGTTTGATAACATGCCTTTAACGAGATAATTCTGCATTTTTCTGGCCTCTTGTCTTGTCAGCTGTCAGTAAAACTGGTCTGTTTTCTCCCTCAGGGCTGATCTTGTTTATTTGTCTGGGCACGTTAACCATGCTGCGGCCCAACATTTATTTTATGGCCCCACTGCAAGAGAAAGTGGTGTTTGGGATGTTCTTCCTGGGAGCTGTGCTCTGCCTCAGCTTCTCCTGGCTTTTTCATACCGTCTACTGCCACTCAGAGAAAGTGTCTCGCACCTTCTCCAAGTAAGGCTTCATACTGTCTGTACACTTTCCATACATGTCTTAAAGGAATCATTTGTAAGTGTCAGTCTTTTGCTGTTTTAGACTCACTGCTGTTACAGTCGGTTGGTTTTTAATTTCAGTCGCCCATATGCATGTGCCTTCATATGGGACATGCATCTCCAGCTTGCCACGTTATTTGAGTGCAGTTAATGAGGGATACTTCCACAATCATCAGTGAAGACACAATACTACACAGTTAAAATTAACATGATGCAAGTAACCTGATCTGTTTTAATTTATTTCAAGAATTGAACATCCATCTGTTACACTTTCTCACCCATACAGTATTCATAACATAACATGTAATATCTGCAGTAATCCAGAGATACAAGTGACAGTGGGGGAGGACAGTGTAGTCCATTAGTCACAGGATTGGTGGTGTGAACCCTGGCCCCTGCTCTACATATGTCAAATTTTGCTTTACCCTGAACACTTTGCATTGCAGCTATTCCATTTTAGTGAAATTGTGAGTAAATGTGAGGCAGTGTAAAGCGCTTTGTACTGATCTCTGGTTAAAGCTAGATATGTGCATTTACTATGACAGACTACTGTAGCATCAAATTAATTTTGGATGAATTATCATTTATTACACAACCTCAAAAATACTTGGTGTTTACTGTGTCGTGTCCTACGTGAGTATAAATTTGGGATAGACTTAGAAAGGTACATCGCAAGAAACATGAGGAAGCTTTTTTGCCTCCAGCAGATCTTCAGTCCAAACACCCAGTGGCTGTTTTTTCTGTCACCTTCAGGCTTGACTACTCTGGGATTGCCCTCCTAATCATGGGCTCCTTCGTGCCCTGGCTGTACTACTCCTTCTATTGCTCCCCTCAGCCTCGACTTATCTACCTCACCATTGTATGTGTCCTCGGCATTGCTGCCATCATAGTGGCCCAGTGGGACCGATTCTCTACACCTCGTCACAGACCTACAAGAGCAGGTGCTCACCGGTTGATGATGTGAAATTTTTAGAAATGTTGTTTCCTGTTTAATTCTACACTGCTGTTTTGCTTTAGCGCATGTTTTTTTATTTTGTCTTTTCTGAGCAGTAGTGATGCTTTTCTTAAAGGGTGGCAAGCCATTGAATACAGAAGAAACACTGATAGCATGATGTGGTTATGAATCACTTTTAAGGTTATATTGCACATCTGAACGATTTTATAATAATTGTAATTTTTCTTATAATACAAGGAAATGTAGATGAAGATGTTTTCAAAATTACAGCAAGTTACCCAAGTCCATGTTTCTTTTAGGTGTGTTCATGGGTCTGGGACTAAGCGGCATTGTCCCCACCATGCACTTCACCATCGAGGAGGGCTTTGTTAAGGCCACCACAGTCGGCCAGATGGGTTGGTTCTACCTGATGGGTGCCATGTATATCACTGGTGCTGGTCTGTATGCAGCAAGAATCCCTGAACGCTATTTCCCTGGCAAGTGTGACATCTGGGTAAGTATTTAAGAGTGACTTGTGAGAGACAAATTAAAAAAGAAATGGTCAAAATTGACCATTAGTTCCAGTATGGATCAGCTTTCACAAACCACTACACTTAACCATAATGTAAATCAGTTGTGTTGCTAGCCTACCTGATATCCACCTATTTTCCAAATTCTGCACCCAGGTTACTAATATGTAGGCTCCAAACCAAAGCCCAGATTGCACAAGTGAATTCGCTTGAGGACAAATTTGACAATGCAGAGCAACAGAAGACATGATACAGCTGTCTTCATAGGCAGAGTACTTCCTGTGACTAGCATATGTACTTTGGCGATTAAAAATATTTTAAAACAGATGATTTCTTTAGGCTAAAACCACAAAATTACCAAGTGAGAAACTGTGAATAGCAAGTCAGTAACTTCATTGACTTCTGATTATGTGAGAAAGATACCTGACTGTGAATAACAAGTAAAACAACATAAGGAATACAGTTTGAGTATATTTGATGAATTTGAAAATGTTCAGGGGTGTCCTGATAGCCAAATGGTTAAGGGCTCCCTACATAACTGTACCGTTCATTGTTCAGTTCCTGCCAGGACCATTGTTGCATATCATAATCAACTCTTTCTCTCCCTCTCTAATAAATGTGAAAAACCCAAGCAGTTAAAATATGAAGAAAATGCAATATCAACATTTACACAAGTTTTGCTAAACTCTCATAATGCAGTGCTTCATCTTGTCTTCTGTTATAACAATTGTACACGAATGATTTTGTTAGTCATGTATTAAACATGGAATGAGTGAATGAGGGAGCAACTTCTGGTGTTGGTTTACTCTGGACATCTTTTGGGTGATCGAACAGGAACATAATTATAAATCATACTAATGCACTGATATTTCTTTCACTCTTTCTAGTTCCAGTCTCATCAGATTTTTCATGTTCTGGTTGTGGCGGCAGCGTTCATCCATTTCTATGGCGTCTCAAACCTGCAGGAGTTCCGCTACGGCCTTGAGGGAGGATGCACAGATGACTCTTTACTCTGAGAGCCCTGACTGTGACTTGCTCATATTTTTCTTTATAGTCCCATAAACACCACATTCAAACACACTAAAAATGCTGCTGGAATTCTCTTATTGCTCCTAATGTACTTCTGACTCACTAACATCCTGTCTGGGTTTTTGGCTTCTTTTTTTTGCTTTGGCTGTTTTTGCTCCAATAAAGTAGCATTAACTAGTCAATGAACTGTAGAGGGAATCTTCAACAGATGCTACTTCAGTAATTATGGAGTTTGAAGTCTGTGTTTGCAAGTAAGATCAAAATGGGACTTTAACCAAAATCATATATTTCTGTAACTGATGGACACTTCTGAGAAGCTCACTAGTAGCCCAGCCTTGCTATAGTCTCTTTGTTTCAGGGTTTGCACATACATTAATTTGAGGAGGATGAAAGTATACATATATAGTGTGAGGATGTCACTAGATATGTTTTAATTGTGCTGACACTGATGCTGCAGCTGTGTTAAAACCTGGAACGTCACTACAAACCTACTCATGTCCACTCTGCAATAAAACATGAACTGTACTCTGAAGGCCAATTGAAACAAATGAAATTAACATATTGTTTAAATCCCATAACTATGAACTATTCTATGAACTAGTCTGAATTACATATGCTAATCAGATGTTTTACCAAAATAAATCAGGGGGTTGGATTTTTTTTTCTTAAATTATACTAATGTCCGTAGATGTCTGTTTGCATTTAATGCGATATTTTAATTGACAAAAGTCTCCGAACAAATAATTTTCTAATTATTTGACAGCACAGAAAAGCTGTAAAAGTTTGTAGCTGTTGTGGAAAAGTACATCAGCTCACTGCAGGTTAGACTAAGATGCTGAAATATTGAAAGGAAATGGACTCTTCTGCTGTCATTTCTCTGTGAAGGACATCATTGATTCATTTCTAGTTATGGGCTATGCACAATGTACAGCTCTGGATCGGTCCAATTGTGTTTGTGTCAGCTGCAGATCTTTCTTTTGTGCTATAGTTCACATGCAGTGAGAAGTGTAAATATCAAATGCACCTTACTGCAAAATTCAAAACTTTAAATCACTATATGGGGTTTAAAATGTGTTATAAACTTTGAGTATACCTGTGCCTTAGGCCAAAGATGATGTTTTCAAATAAAATGGCCTATCTGAACAGTCAAGGGAGCTTCAAGGATTTCCAGATGTTGACTCTTCTTGTTTTCCTTGCCATATATATATACACAATCGAATCATTGAACTTACAACTCCATTGATAGGTTGTATCAACTGCTGTTTAAAAGACTCCTTTTTCTAGATCAACTTATTCAAGCTTTATTACAGAGACTAAAACAATGTGTATTCTTGATTTTGTGTGATGTCCTGTGTAGAAAGTGATAAATCATACATTTCACTGAAATGTAAGCATAACTATTTATTAATGGTAGCCTTGCAAAATTATTGTAATAAATTTTTTCCAAATGTACAACCATGGTTTCCAGATGTGTCCTGTGCATATTCAAAGGTTCAGGCAATACAAGTAGCTGGTGAGAGGAAAATGTTTACACACCCACAGGAGTGTTTTTTTTTTTTAAATAGAAATCTAAGATCTTGATGTTGGAAATTTTTATTTCAGCAAGTAGCAGCTTTGAAGACAAAGTAAAACTGATGGTAAAAAAAAGTAAAATGTAAAATCCCCTATATTATGACAATATGACACACAGCACTAACTATTGATTTTACTAATGTAAAGACTTTTACCTCAGGATAGTTTTACATTGAGGTATTGCTACTTTTGCATTTTTTTTGCCAGCACTGCTTAACTTAGATTTATCTCCACACACCATCCTCAAAAACGGTTAAGTGACAACTTTATTGTTGTCAAAAAAATCCCAATTTATTAGAAAACACCTTTGTTATAGAGCGTATATCATATTTGAATATTATGGGAAAAGGCATAATGAAGGAACAATTATTATTTGAACAAAATGTCTCATAATATTAGGAACCAGTTTAATAAGGAACCAAATTACAGCCATGCGTTACTGAACGGCAGGATTTAGTTGCTGGTACCCTTCGAGAGTGGCTAGTATACTAGCCTGGCGTTGGCTAACCTGTCTTTCTTTCAATTTTACGGTCGTATTGAACCTGGTTTTTACTTCAGCATTTAAGTACGTCGTATTTGACATTTTCAAATGTGTGTAACTATTTTTCATGAATGTGTAAAGTATTTATTTGTAGTATCATTGTCATTTTAATTCAGTGTTAGCATGAGTGTTGGTATAAACTCAAGGGGCGGGGCTAACAATAGAATGACCAGCTTATTAGCTATTAAAACTAATCTCATTCTTACTAGTTTTAATATAGGGATGTCGCTGGTTAAAAGTGGCATAATATGTATTCTGTGGACAATGAAAATGTAAACATTAGTAAGCGTACTTATCTTGGACTTCCGCACAACAACGGTTCCGAAGGCTTGTTACTGTTTTTCCGGTTCACTACGCCCCATAAGCTAATTATCCATTATAGGTAACTTATTTACTGTCCCTTGTGTCAGTCTGGTTGGGCTGGTGAACGATACCTTTTGTGCTTGAGCATCGAAATAAATTTGTTGTTTGAAAAGGTTCGACATGGACAACGATCAACAGTCCAAAGAAAGCACGGATCTGTCCGACCTGGTTTCTGAGGACGGCAAAAACAGCAAGTCTGTCTTGTGTCAGCGCTGCGGATGCAAGGTGCTGTGCCCAGGGATGGCTGTGTTTGCAGAGAAGGAGGTAAGATGTGTGATAAGGCAACGGACTGGGCTGACTGACAGCTGCTTTCTGGATATATTGTTGTGCACTGTATGTCCACAGGTTATATAAATCAAACATATTGATTTGGTACTGTATCGCTTTACTGTATACAAAAGGAGTCCAAGGTGATTTACAGAATTATAAAAAGAACTGGTACAATACAGTTGAGCACATTTACAGGTACTGTACAGTTACAAATTTGAGGTACTTGTACTTCACTTGACTCTTTCCATTTTATGCTACTTTATATTTCTTTTTCACTGAATTTCAATGCCATTAAATCTACAGTAATTAGTCAAAAATTGGTTATGGAAATTAATAATAGTAATACTTCAATAACAATTTTAAGTATTTTTTAAGCAAGTATCATCTCAAATGTGAGAATTTATTGTGTTTTTTGGGGGGTTTTACATTATAGTAAAGGTCTATTTTGGGGCTTTGAACTGTTGGTCAGACAAGACACTAATGTCACCTTGTGCTCTATGAAATGATGAGTGTCACTGTTTTCTAGGCCAAACAATTAATCAACTAATCACGAAGGAAACTATGAAAATAATTGTTACCAGCAGCCCTACACTACATTTATTTGGCAGCTGGAGTTAAATAATATGTATTATATATTTCTAAAATATGATGCACTGTTATAAACTACCCAACAGTATATAAAGGAGTTAATAGCTTCACCTCAACCGACTGCAACAGTAAATTCTACTTTCATATTATTGCATCAGAAAGACTTTGAAAACTGATTGGTTCCTTGCCTTGACCTGAGTAATCTGGTGGGTTTATAAACGCAGAGCATGACTTGAGGAAGAGGAAGATTTTAGACTGTATTCAGATATGGAGATTTCTGAGGATCACAGGGAAGCGATCACTTTTTTGCCACTTTTCTCTAACTAGGCTCTACCATATGTAAACAGATACATCTGTATAGACTTATACAGTACATATTAAACACTGTCTATACTAGCTCACTCTTGCACTTTTTTTCCCACAAGTATTTTTATATCATCTGAGGCTGTGTTTTCTCCCACCAGCTGTTCCTTCCATCCATGCGGAAAAAGAGCGGCCTCAGCACAACAGAGGGATCAGTGGACGGGGACATTGTGACTGCCCACTGGTTTGTGGATGACATGTACACTTTTGAGAATGTGGGCTTCACTAACGATGTCGGGAGAATCAAGTATCTCATCTGTGCAGATTGTGAGATTGGACCAATTGGCTGGCACTGTTTGGATGACAAGAAATGTTTCTACGTTGCTGTGGAAAGGGTGAATCATGCATAGTGTAAATGCATATCTGAACCCACAAGAACTTTAAAAAAAATGTGTTTTAGGCTATGCATCTTTTCATCTTTACATCCAGAGATGACCCCCAGCCAATCTAATGCAACACACACACACATTTTATATATAGTTTACATAGAACTCTGGGTACGTACACAAAATTATTCAATATAACAGTACTATGCCACTACATTCCTCCTTTATCACACTGATAAGTGTGACCATTATGTTTTTGGGAAGCTGTCGACTATCACCCAGTAGCTGTTTCCTGTTCTGAGTAATGTTATACAAGTTCCTTGCATTCCTATGCATGGCCTCACAACTCTCAAGTACCCAACAAGGCAAGTGCAAATGCTATTACAAAATGTTCAGTGTACAAGAGCCAGGACAGTCTGCTAGTCAAATGTGTAGGAAAATTTATGTTTATGCACTGAGGGCTGTTTGGGCTCTTGCGGTCTTAAATCTTCGGCTGTGTGCACATCTGCTAGGTAATCCAGACAGGATATTAGTGGAACGAATTAATTTACCAAATTTGTACTTGCTGAAAATGAACCCATAAATTGTGACGTGTGCCGATATCAGTAATTTGAATAGAGCACAATAATAAAAACTGTAAATGTCATCTGTGTTGAATTTGTTGTTTGGGTGCCCAGTTTAAAAAAAAAAAAAAAAAAACCTGTTTATATTACAAGTGTAGCTTGGCTGTTCACCACTAGATGCTGTGGTTCCATTATTTGATACAAACTATTATTTTATGGTGAATTTTCTATATGATGTGGTCCATTGTATTTTGTGTCTACTGTACACCTGTCCACCAAAGGCTCTGCCTTCACCCAGTAAATTGAACCTCACTAAATCAAAGGAGTGGTGCTAATCATCTGAATCATGATGGTCTTGGTGGGGCTGTGTGCTCCCTCTGTGAAGTGTAATTTTCCACAAATAAAAACTATTATGAATGCTGAGTATTATGCTAAGATACTATAAAAAGGGCAATTATAAAATGTGTAATCCAAATGGGACATCTAAATGTTCATTACTGGAAATTTAGAAAATTGAGCATTATTAAGGTAGCATAACGTAAGTAAAGAGAGAATCATATAAGAGTATATAGCTAGGATTCCTCCCAGATTGATAAAAAGATATGCAACAAGTGAATTTGCACATAATAGTAAAGACCAGACACTCGGAATATATGGGCAGAAAACATGTATTCAGTTTTTGTTAGAGTGATCTTGAACACTTTTAAATATGTACAGTTGATATTTCTCCTGACAGTGAAAGACACCTGTCATGTGTTATAGTCTGCTGTCCAAAATCCAGCAACAGGAAGTTCAAACGAAACAGAGAATAGGGACATTTAAATCAGTCTCGTATGTAGAGTGAAGCAAGTTATGCCACAGTTAACACAATCTGTAAGATTAAATTTTCCACTTTCAGTCAACACAAGGGGTAGATTTCAGCTAGTATGGGCTTAAATTGGGGTCAGTGCCATACTTTTATCATAGGATGATACAACTGTGCTCAATTAAAATATTGTGTGATTGATAATGTAGTATTGACATAGGTATAAAACAGTGTCATTAGACAAGCGTCAATCAACAAAGAGAACAGATTGTCAAGACAGCATATAACATTAAGTAAATGTGTGAACAAAGTTGAGAAATAAAAATAATCTTAAAATGTTCTTGATCGTTATATGTTGTATGTAAATGCGGGCTGTCCGGAGACATTATAAACTTATATAATAAAAGCTAGATTGTTATAACTGAACCGTGGGGCTGTGTTATGTTGTTGGTCCGCTGACCATGCTAATTGTTACAGGTTATGCTTACACAATCTTGCTCACGCCGTTTCCTACAGACCAAACAGGAGTTCATTTCTCCAGGCCGATTTTTGTGTGGCCGCACCACGTGACTGTAGTCTCCACCAATCAACGAGTTCCTCTAGACCATTTAAAAACGAAGTACCGGTCGGTGCGCAACGATCTGGTGGGTGTGTTCGATTAGTAAATCCAACGTACCGTCCGACACGTGTCTATTATTTCAGCACAGTCGGGCGGGGTACGGAGGGTCAATCAAACCTCTTCATGTTTTATGCACCGGCGTGTCAAATGGGTACACGAATAAAACTTGACCAGCTGGGGCACCATCATCTGCGAGGAAGCCACTGAGCCAATAAACTATTTAATCCTTAACTAAGGAGTATTGTATACACAAGGTGTAAACTGTATGACAGCAAGCTCTACTGTAGTTTATTTTGACGGTGATAGAGTAGACTGAAACGAGGCTGAAGACGTTTACAGTCACACAGGCATTTGACTCCTTCAGCTATTAACATATACCTCTGTAGCTGCATCGGTTTATTAAACATGCAGTTATACGCACAGTCTATATTAACACGTGGAATAATGACTAAACTGTATTATTGTCTACGATGCAGCCAGGGACTGAGTGTAGAAATGACTATCCTTCATAATTTATAGGTGTCTACTTTTTGAAGCGGAGGAATACCGGTTTATGGCTGTCAGTCTCTCGTCTTCAACTAGATAATTCGTCTCTGAGTTCGAGAGTGGACATGAACTGAAGGACAGAAATTAACAACGAACATATTAGGTGCAAGGAACCCAGTCAGAATATTTTACAGTCATAACAAAGATGCAGCGATGACTCAGCCTCAGCTGAATGAGTTCATTCCTCCCCCGGAGTGCCCTGTTTTTGAGCCCAGCTGGGAGGAATTTGCCGACCCTTTTGCGTACATCAACAAAATACGACCCATTGCAGAGAAAACTGGCATTTGCAAGATCCGACCGCCACCTGTGAGTATTTCTTCATTTTGACCGTAATTCCATGTTTTGTCTTTGGTACGTTTGTGTCTGCTGCAGTTGATAATTCAGCAGGCAAAGTTGTGTATTTAGACAGGTTTCAACATGGCGGATTGCGGCTGCGACTTGAATTGTCGAGCTAGCCTGAGCACGGTGTTGTGTTTGGAACAACGACAGTATAGCACATACAGACATGCCATTCAGGAGCAAATCTGATGTTCTGGTCAAGTTTTTTGCTTCCAAACACTCAGACGTGTATCTATTATAATAGAAGGCTCTAGGGGTATGGTTTCTAAAAATAATTCAAACGCTGAAGTTTGCGTGTAACGTTATGCAAATATGATGGAAATTGTTTACGTTGGCGCAGATTAAATGGTTATTGAACTCGACGAACGGAGAAAACTCACCAAAATTTTAACTAGCCATTTGACCACTGCTTTAAAAGAGTCCATTAAATATGAGGCCAAACTTTCACAGTGATATTTGACGAATTTATTTAGTATGAGGTGACCTAGCTAACGCTCACTGGGCCTCTTTAAAGCTGCAGTTGTCTGTTATGTTGGTACGTGCTGGGTGACCAACAGTTTATGGAGAGACGGGGTAGTTCAAACACGGCGCTTAAAGGACAGTTTTTGTTGTATCACACCTATTAATAAAACATCCCGAAATGCTGTTATTTCTCACTGTTGACAGTGTCATTAGTTAACTCTGTATTATAGAGTCGCAGAATAATATGCTGGTATTATGGAACTCCCGGACCATTGGCTGTCTTTAACAATTTCAAATTGGATGATTATTGTGCCGTGTCCCACAGCTCGCTAACGTCACATGAGTCAGATATGAAGTTCTTCCAGCCACAAATAATATGTAATAGTTGAAGATTTCCACTAAAATAAACAGAATTCAAATTATTCTTACACTGACTGTATCTGATATATCTGCTTTGAGAGAGGACAGATATCCAATTCAGGGGTGTGCCCATGCAACCATGTAAATTAGATAAATGACGTAGTTTACTGAAATAAATATCACTATGACTGATTACTGATGTATTTCAATCCCTTTTGTCAGTTTCAAAACATTAAGGTTCTGGGTGAGAATTATTTTCTTTGGTCTGTATGCCATCAGTTAACAAGGCTTCTCATTTTTAGAAATTAGGAAGCTGCAACGGTCCATGTTGCAGGTTGAACAGGAGGGGTAGGGGGTAAGGGACTGAATTGTTATCAATAAAGGGTGGGTGGGGCTCTGCTTTGAGTGTTTGTTGGTCCTGTGGTTGAAAATTTACAGTTCATGTAAAATCAAAAGAAGGTAGAAAAAGGCTGACACAAAGATTTTGTTTTTCCTGGTCAACCCATTTACTACTTTGTTTTGACCAGTGTATAAGCTACAGTGCCTACAATTGTAAAATGTTTTTTTTCTGTTGAAGTTGCAGCCTACTAAACTCAAGCCTGAATAGCTTTAAGATGTCACTGCAAGTCATTTGTATACTAGCGTCTTTATGATCACATGACAGGTTTTAAAAATGCAGGGTCATTCTTTTAACTCGCATGCCATATGGTAAGAAGGAGCAGTTGAAAAGAAAATGTGCAAATACAAATCCTGTTGAGTGAAGAGGGTGGTGTTAAGCAACCTGGAGGCCTTTATGGTGAAGGCACATGCACAGCATGTACATGTAACATCCTGTGTTTGTAAGAAAAGGTCTGGCCTGATATGTCATTTTCTTTGTTTCCTATTCTGTAGTAGAAACTGTTCAAAAAGAGTTTGTTTTTTAGAAAGGAAGAAGACGTTGCACCATGACCTGTTTGTGCTCAGTGATTTCTGGGTGCACAGTGTGTGGTCAGGGTTTCCTCCAGGGTTTTAAACACAAACATTTTGACTGTAGATGTTAGTAGCACAGGCAACTGATCCTCTGTGATTATTTTAGAGGCAGTTTGTGGCTATCTTCTCACCACTTATTTGTCATTTTGTACTTGGGGAAGGCTAGTCATGTTTAGACTAAAATTGCACTTTGTAATCCTAACAGTTGTGGTTAGTTGTGCGAAGGCTGGTCAGATAACCTATGCAGTTATTTGACAGTTGTTAAACTTTTATGTACAGACATTAAGCCAGCTTTGTTTACAGATGATAAGGTGGTATTAATTATTGCAGTTTTTATCTCAGGAAGAAAAAAGCCTGCCCAAATCTTGTGTGTAACATTTTATATTTTATAGTGCTAATCC